TGAGATTTTTATATGTCTCTCTAGGGATTTATATCCCATTTCCCATATCTGTTTCTTCCCTGGTTATGAGTGTCTTAAACCACAGGGCTGACTCACTGGCAGTCCAGAGAGTAGTTAAGCAATGAAATATTCCTTTGTCTCTGAAGTCATAGCATATATGGAGGGCCACACTTTAACAGGTATGTAGCAGAAAATCATATTGAACTGTGGGTACAGTGTTCCTGAGCATCCAGGTTCATAGTTTATTGCTTTCTTCTCAGAAGTCCAACCCATTATTAAGAAACCTAATAAGCATAACTCTTAAAATTTACCTGATTCTGGTAACAACATATAAGCTTCCAAAGTGTTCTTTGAGCATGAGGGGGTAAAAAATGACTAACATTTCTTAAGTTCTTACTATGTGGTATTGACTAAAATGCTTTGTCTTATTTAATCTTTACAACAATTCATTAGGGCAGCTATATTCTTCTCCCCTTTTTACAGATATGGGAACTTGTATTAGAAAAATTAATTTGGGCCTGGCACAGTGGATCACGCCTACAATCCTAGCATGTTGGGAGGCCAAGGTAGGAGGATTGCTTGAGCCCAGGAGTTTGAAACTAGCTTGGGCGACATAGGGAGACTCTCTTTATAAAAAATAGAAAAATTAGTCAAGCATGGTGGCACGTGCCTCTGGTCCCAGCTACTCAGGAGACTGAAGTGGGAAGATCGTTTGGGCCAGGGAGATCAAGGCTTCAGTGAGCTGTGATCATGCCACTTCACCCCAGCTTGGACAACAGAACGAGACCTTGTCTCAAAAAATAAAGAAAAATTAATTTGCCCAAGAAAAAATTAATGGAGCTACAATTTGAATCCCAGTGGATCTGATTCAAAGTTCATGCTTTCAACTTCTGTACTTCTTCGTAGAGAATCTGTAATGTGACAGAGATGGGTTGAATCACCCAGTATGTGTACATTCATTCATTCATTCATGAATTATTCCTTCATTTATTCAGCAACTCTTTTTGAACATTTGTTATATACACTATCCCAGGTGCTGTGAAAATTCAAAGCTTAGCCAAATGGAAATCATTCCCTCAAGGAATGTGCCCACCAGAGAAGATGTCATATACAGAAATAACTATAACATGAAGTTTACAGTGATGATAGCCCTAAAAGAGGTTCCTATTTTTAAAAAATTATTGGTGTTTAGAAAAGGAAAAAGTATTTTTCCATCTGGGGAGGTGAAAAGCCTGAGAAAGGTGGTATTTGATTTGGTTCTTGATTGATAGGAACGATTTAGACATGAGACAGAAAGTAGGGAGTATAGAGGTATTTCAGGGTGAGAGAGAATATAGGAACAATAACCCAGAGAAAAGAAGTTAGAGAAAATTATGTCATCAAAGCAAGAAAAGAGAGAATTTCAAGGAATGGTGGCTAAAAGCGTAATGCCATGGATATGTCTCTTATCACTAACCAGAACGTGTGCTTCTCTTTTATCACATTTAGCCTCTTCTGCATATCCATTTTGCTCTCCCTTCTTCCTTCTAGCATCTCATTATATATGGATACTCAAGTCGCTGTTTAAAGAAAAGAAACTTAATTATAGGTGGAGGTAACATTTATTTCAATATTCATTCCTGTTGAAAGATTGAGAATTATTTATTTAGGAGAGAAAAATTAAGAAGAAATCTATTTGTTAAAGAAGCTTTTTTGAGGTCCCATTATGTCCACAAACTGTTTTAGGTACTAGGAATATTTTTTAAAATAATATGCCATTTCTGCCCTCAAGGATCTCAGAGTCTAATAAAGTAGACAAACATATAAATAAGTAATTACAAAATATATTGATTCCTATGATAGAGGAGTGTACTAGGTATAGAGATGACACAAGAGAGGAACTGATCAGTTCTGAGGATGGTAATTAGGGAATGCTTCCAAAAAAGAAATATCTGAGCCACTCTTTTATTTTTTAAAACAAATAGGATCAACCCACATGTTCTCATTCTAAACAAAATACTTTAAATTTAGTATTTCCTAGATATCTTTTGTGTTAATATGTAGAGATTTT